GTCCTTGATGACAGAGCATGCTGGGAAAGACAGCAGCAAGCCCGCTCATGTCCACACCACTAGCGGTCACCCGGAGGGCTGATAGCCGTACCCTCTCCTCACCCTTCGAACCACCTGACACCCTCACTCTGACTTCCCCACCTCTGTCCTCACTCATGCAGGAGGCTCCAACAGGACTCCCCCCACCCCCCACCCCACTTGGCACCTGATAAGATAGAGCATCTTCCCACACTCCCTTTCCACTTGTCTCTGAGGTCAGTGCGTGTTACCTTTTTGAGTCCCGGGACAAACAGGGCATGCCCATCTTCCATCTTGACAAGCACCCTCCTCTGGTGCACCCGATCCTGCCCTTCTCCCAGGGACTTTGCTCTGAAGCCCCCTCTTTCTCTGCATCCTTCTTCTCACTGGCTCCTCTTTGCTGAGCAGGCGACATCAGCTGCATTCTTACTGCTAATCCCTGCTGTTGCCTCCTCCGGCCTGGACCATCTTTCTACTCTCGCCCCTGATATTCACACAGCTGTTGTTGTTGGGTGTCAATTCAGTCAGTTCTGACTCACAAAGACCCGCTGCTGCCCAGTCCTGCTCCCTGCTCACAATCGTTCCTGTGATCGAGTCCACTATTGCAGCCACTGTGTCGACCCACTTCAATGACCCACGACTTTACCAGCATGATGTCCTTCTCCAGGGACTGGTCCCTCCTGATCACATGTCCAAAGTATGAGAGAGGAAGTCTCGCCTTCCTTCTAAGGGGAATGGAGAAGGAAATTCTTCTGAATGGAGAAGGAAACACGATGGCATCCATTTTAAGCAGCAGTGGTGTTAATCCCTGGATTGGCCAGCCTGGGAGGAGTGAACAAAGCAGCAGAGCTATTAGGAGGTGGTGTGCGCGCGAGGAGTGTGGTCTGAAGTCAGATGGCCTGGGTTCAGATCTGGGTCCTACCTCTTCCCGGTGTGCAGTTAGCTGTGAGAACTGTCCGTCTGGCGGACGCACTCAAGTTTAGCCTCATTGTCATCTCTACCCGTCAGAGACACACACGCTGTTCGCTGGGTTGTGGTGTTGACTGCACTATCAGCAGACCAGCTGATACTTCTGGGGCACTTGGAGACACTGGCCCTGGAGGATCTTGAGCAGGTGAGGGACATGAATCAGTTTGCATTTTAATTTATTGTTGTTGTGAAGTGCCGTTGAATCGGTTCTGAACCACCAACCTTGCAGTTCAAACGTCTTTGCAGTCTGGCGCATTAACCCACAGCACCACCCCATATGAGGGGTGAATTCAAGGATGAGAGGCCTGAGGCAGGTAAATATTTAAGAGGGTATTGCATTGGTGCTGCCCACATGGAGCTGTCAGAGTGGAGAGAAAAGGGTGGACTTGAGGGGATTTGGGAGAGAATTACAAGATTCCATTCTTGACTGGCTCTAGGGATGGGTGAGGAATCCGAGGAGATTCTCACTGGCTGGTTGGGTGCTGTGATGGTGATGAGGTTTGGCATACCATTGGGAGAAGGTGCTGGAGTTGAGAGGAACAGCACAGTGATGTTCAGCCGTGGAGTCAGGAGGTCACTCATAAGGGAAATTGCCCAGAGATCATGGAAAGCCAGAGGGCTCAAGGTGGAGCTGGGAAAAGGAAGACGTTAAGTGCTGTCAAGTTGGTTCTGACTCAGAACAACCCTGTCTAGGGTTTCCGAGGTTTTAAATCTTTGCGGGAACAGAAAAGCTCATCTTTCTACCAGAGTGGCTGGTGGGCTCGATCCGCAGACCTTGTGCTTCACAATCTAGTGCTTATTGTATGGGCCATCACACTCCCTGAGGCAGGCAGAGAAGTGTTTGCCTGGGTTCCAGATGAAGAGTGCGGATCTCAGATGGGCACAGGTTCCTCAGGAGTAGGCGATGGTGGGCGTGTCACTGGTGGGACTCTTACTAGGGAACACTGCTCGTTAGCCCCAAATGCCTGTGGTGTCAATGTCAGCTGCCAGGCTGCCAGTCCGACTCAATCCCCTGACCGGCTGTGGATGGAACCACTGTGACCTATAGGTTTCCACGGCTGATTTTTGGAGACAGATCAGTCTGGAAGCTCCATTGGGACCTGTTCAGGATAACACGCCGTCATTCCACTGACGGCCGCAAAGTGCACATGCACTGGCCAGGATGCAAACCTGCGTCTCTAGCGATGAGAGAAGTCTACTACTGCCTCTTCTGACCTCCCTACCTACAGGAGCATCTGTGAAATAAGCACATTCTGTTCAGGACAGGTAAGAATACCCGGGCGAACAACCCTACCCACCACAAACATTTTGAAGTGGCGGCGGCTGAGAGCTGGTTCCCATTACCTCCCGGGTGGCTGTGGAGTCTCGGAGTTTCTTCAGCTCTCAGGGTCAATTTCCTGGGCTGTGCTGCTAACTCCTTCTGTCCCCCAATACCCTTCTTCTTCCCACCCACTAGATGACCCCAGGCGGACCTGGGAGGGGACCACAATGCCCAGCTCTGTGCCTTGTTAAACTGAGGTTAGAGCTGGACAACTCACAAAATGGCCCGAGTTCAGGTGTTTGGGATCAACTGAGAATAGGTTTATTTAAAAGCAGTTTTAAATATTAAAAAAAAAAAGTAGAAATGAACACATACAGTACTGAAAAACGGTCACATTAAATACATGTGAAATGACAAATGTACGGAGGATGTGTGATCTTAACATCCAGATGAGGATTTGGAACGTAACTACTGGTACTAGGGGTTCCTATACAACACGGGACGTGCTGGGCAATAAAAAAATAAATACCAACTGCTGTTCAGCAGTCAAATTAGACACACCCTATTTGCAGAACTTAATTTTCACCTCTGTGAGAAAATAAAGAACTAAAAGGAGCTCTCCCCACTCATAAAGTTCCATACCTTCAAAATACTCTATCCCATACAAAATTGCAGATAGTGGCTGAGTTTACAATGTTAGATTGCAACTCAACCAAAATGGCAGAGGACATGTCTGCTGGGTTTTCCTACGTCCTGTGGTAAGCTGGAGTAGAGAGCACACAAAACCAGAAGAAAACAAAAAGGCGTTCATTTTGTTGCGTTTGCTGCTAAGGGAAGAAAGAATAAGATGACATTGGACCCCACAGGATTTTACCGAGTTTTTATGTTTTGGTTTTTTTAAACTAGTGTATGTGCACATCAGTTGAAATTGTAGAGGCCACAAAAACAAGTAGTTATTTAATGCAACTGAAAACCTGTGATGGGTGAGCTGGTACCCTAAGTCACCTCAGAGCCGACTTCGTGTGGTGACTTGAACGAGGGGGCTGCCCATCCTGATGGCCACACACCAGCATGTTACCCAATTCCTGATGCCACCGGCACCCTCTTGCTGTGATCCTGTTGAAACGACTGCCTAGGCACTTTCCATTCACCACTGATCAATGGATTTGCAGGTTTGTTATTTATGGGTTACTTATGAATTAGGTGGCTTCTGTACTAAACAGGTACACGCTGAGCGCTGCAACTCTATGAGGGGGCTTTTGCTGTGAAACGAGTATGTTTTATGCATTGCCAAGACTTTCTGTTAAGTATTATCCATTTTCTGCGCTGTTTCCCAAGTAGCAGAGTAAGCAAATGAAACGCCAGAGCCTCAGAGAGCCCAGAATAACCCTGCTGACCTCATCTCCCTCCAGGTTCAGATGGATGGAAGGAGACCAAAGCACTCAGAATGACACGCTTCGGGGCCCAGCAGACACGCTGGGTGACAAGACAGCGAGGAGGGACCCACGGCAGGAAATGTGTTTGCTCACAGTGCAATTCAGAGCTGCTCATATACTTGGTTATGAACTGACTTGAAGGGCGTGTGTGTGTCGGACAGAGGCCAACACTGGAAAATGTCTTCACAAATGTGGGGGAGAATAGGACTTTGTTTCAGTACCTGGGTTCTACAATGGGAGCCTGAGAAGAGCTGCTTTTTAAATTCATCATCTTCTTTTAAAAGTTTAAATTTATTGAAGAACAAAACTGAGAAAATAATTTAAAGTGGACTCCTTGTAGACACAGACGAGCGGTGCGGATCCCTAACCCGCGTTGTCATTTGAGACCGCCAATGACTGACTAGAAACACGGACTGCTCCACCTTTATCATGACGGCTTTAATGGCAATCAGATGGAAAAAGTGTACAGTCCAACTGGTCCATACTATTCCTTTATAAAAGGCAGGTTTCGGGGAAGCGTCTAAATGCATGCATATGTAATCATTTCTGGCGGTCTGTGTTCCTGAAAGCTGAACTGCATCAGATGTGTGTTAAATGTTGGCTAAGAGTCATGAAGGATGTTATCTCTGCATCCTGAGGTAAGATCTCGGGGCTGGGGACTCATCAACCTAAGACAGGGAAAAGCCACTCATCTGCAATTGCATGTGGCTGTGTGCACAGTTAAAAGCCACCCAGAGTCCTGGGTCAGTGAGAGTTTGGCTGGCAAGGGACTGAGCACATCTCGGTGATAAGTACCAATGTTGGTATCTGCCGCTGTAAACTGGGGACCCAGACAGCTAGGGCCAGTCTGTCAGGGAGCTCAGCATGCCAACTGGAAGACAGAACCCACCCCCTGTGCTAATGCTGCATGTTCCAGAACCCGACTGAGAATACTGCTTTGTTGGGAACAGAGTGGCTGCGAGGCCCCCCTGTACTTTCCTGGAGACTGTGTCTACTTGCAAAGCCAGTGGTTCGGGCTCCTGTTTCTTCTTGTTTGCTTGCTTGTAAAAAAGCAGTGAGAGAGATGTAAGTGTGAAGATGCCAAGCATGGCTTTGGCAAACCAGTACGGCGTGCCGGGTTCCGAGGCTGCCGTAATGCTGGGAAGGCAGAACAGCATGGACGTTTACATACACACTGCGTCCACCTCCTGCGGTGGTCCCTGCCTGAGCTTCGGGGTCTGTAACGGCAGCTATCTATCTACACGTGGTGCACGGGGCGGCGTGGAGCGGCAGTCTGCAGGCAGGATGTGGATGGTCGGGGCGGGTTCTGCTTCCTGCTAGTCAGACAGGATGTGCACGAAGGACACTGGGAAGACCCCCTTCCTTTCCGGCTGTCCCTCGATGTGCCCAATCTGCAAGGGAGCAGGGTTGTCAGGTAGGAGGCAGTGGGAGCCTCTGTGCTGGGTGGGGGTGAGTGCCCAGGGTCACCCTGCACCCCAGACCATGGTGAGGGTGACCAGGTGGGAACCACCCAGAGAGTCGACGGCATGCTCAGCACTCTGACCCAAGTCTTGGACAGTGCACGGCGGTCCCCGAGGGGGTCTTACTGCCCTCATTTTAAAGATGAAAGGAGAGCAGTTTGACTGAGGAGCTGTCCATGCAACCACCCGACTCTTGAGTGCACGCTCTGTGCCACGTAGCTGCCCAAGGAGGCACCTCAGACAAACCTCAGCCTCTCACCTGCGAGGTGGGCTTGCTGCCTGCTCCCACTAAAGCTCAGACACACAGCTGAGTCCGGTGAAGTCTGAGAGCCAGGCTGTGATGGGACGGCCTTGGGCCCCAGCTTTCAGTGAAGACTTGCGTTGCCCGTCTCTGACCTGGGCTTTACTACTTGCACCCCAAGGGCCTCAAAGAGTTTGTGGGGAAGTGGAAAGAAGACATAACGGGACTTTCCCGTGGACTTTGGGAAGCCCCTTGCACACGCTCACACGTATGTGGCACGCGTGTGTGGAAAGGGTGCTCTGGGGGAGGATACTGAAAGGCAGCGGCTGAGGGCGGCTCCCTTCGGGATGAGGTGAGGTGTCTGCACGTACCCACCACTCCTGGTCTTCCTCCCCGGTGACGATGATCACCTCCCCCTCGATGAACGTGAGCTCATCATCATTGTCCGCCTGGCAGTCGTAAATGGTCTTCACTCGCCTCACTTTGTTTTTACCCTGAAACGAGGATGCTGGGTTTTAGATGGAAGAAGGGAACCAGGACAAGTGGGGAGGCTTTGGAGAACACCTGAGGCTCGCGGCACCTCAGTGTCCTCAGCGGCCATGAGCCATGCACGTTCTGTTCCCTCGCCTTGTGTCAGGGCAGCACCTGAGTTACAGGGTGGGCATCACAGAGCTGTTGCCACCAGAGTGTGACAGGATGCCACCGAGACGTCAAAGAGTTCATGGGAAAATGGACTCAGAAGATGATGGAACTTTCCCACGAACTTTGTGAAGCCCCCGACGTGGGAAGGACCACCATTAGACTAGGCCTAGAAGCACGACTCATCGCCCTCATGCTCCCCACATCAGCACACAGCAGTTACAGCAAAGGGCAGAGTCGGAAAACGGTTTCCAAAAACACGGCCCCGAGCATCTTGAATGAGAGGCAGAAACACATGTCCCTGCCCTGTCCTTGCATGCAAAGCCCCATCCGGACAGGCTGGGAAGGGGCTCATGGGAGGCTGTTACACCGGTTGGACTTAGGTTTTATCCTCTGGACTTCCTGTTCTTGGCGGACAGTAAGATGGGAATAGGGAAATCACCTTCCAAGGGATGTCTGAGCAGGTGGCTGGACAGCAGTGAGAAAGGCCACCTGTCACTGAAAGACTTTAGTGTGACTTTCCTGTCCCCTGGCATCTCCTTTCATCCCCTGATGTGCGGCCTGGGGACAGCCAAGAAGGCCCGTTATGAGGACTTGTTTACAGTGGGGAGGGTGCAATGAGGTGACAAAGCACCTGGAAAGCACGTGGCAAGAACTGCTTAGAGCTGGGGAGACCACCGGTGGTGCCCAGGCCCTGGATGGTTGTCCTCAGGGTTAGAAACAGCACCTCACACACAAAACATGTGGGACCTGGGAACATGGTCTTGATTTTGTATCTTTAATATTGATGAAGTCACTGGATTTTGCAAACAATTAAGGTGCTTGCCTGCTAACTGAAAAGCTGAAGGTTCAAGTCCACCCAGAGATGCCATGGAAGAAAAGCCTGGGAGCTACTTTTACAAAACCAGTGACTGTAAACCCGAGGGAGCATGGGCCTACTCTGACACACGTGGAGTCACCGTGAGCCAGAAACGGAATAGACTGTGAATGCTCTTTGTTAGCATTGATCCAAGACTCTGTTTTCATATTAAAGTCTGAGTGGGGGCAAAGCTGTACTCCTCACCCTGGGGGTGGGTGAGTGCCCTAAAAGGCTCAGTGGTCTATGGGATAAAGAACACACTTTTTCCCACAGCGCCTCATTCTACAAAGGCTTTAAGGAAAAGAGGTGATTTTAAAATTAGAATGTATTACAGAGAAGAATAGAAAGTATTTTGTGAGAATGATTGGCCAGACAGAAATCTTGTGCTTGGGGGTGTTAGGAGGAGGCAGGAGAAGCTGGGACTTGGGGGCACTGCCTTCCTGACTAGTGGGGGTTTACTACATTTGCCGTATTTTACGCAAACAGTGCTCCTTATGTGGGTTTTTGGCAAACTGCACAACCCCTTCATGTGTAAGTTTCCTTATTGTTGTTAAATAGGTTCAGACTCACAGTGACCCTATATAGGGTTTTCAAGGAGCGGCTGGTGGGACTGAACCGCTGACCTTGCAGTCCAGTGCTTCTCCTACAGAGCCACACCAGGATTCCCTATGCACCCTCTATGAGAAAATACACAGTAATTGTCCAGTATCTGTTTCCACATGAGTTTTTCTTTGAATACGGGGAAACGGAGCCTCAGAGAGGTGAATTAAGTTGTCCAGGTCACAGGGTCATGTTAGTTCTGGAAGCCAGGCCTGGAAGCCTGTATGTTATGGCCAACCAGCACTCTGTATTCTCAGAGCCAGGTGCTCGAACCAGAGCGAGGCCGTCTGGTGTGGAGCATGCACCCTCCCGCCCTTGAGACACTGCAGACGGGCGCCCACCTACCGTGTTGATCTTCCTGGGCAGAGGGACGGGGGTCTCTGGCAGAGTGGGTGTGACGTCACTGGACTCGTCAGATGCTTGCTTCTGAAGGGTGTCTCTGGACTGCACATTTGGGGACAGATCCATGGGGTGGGACTTTGGAGGGACGTCTGAGGGCTGCTGGGCCTTGGGTGAGAGCTCGCTAGCCTGCGATTTTACCAGCAGGTCTCCTAGCTGGGGCTTGGGGGGCAGGTCCTTCATTTGCGGCTTGGGAGGTAAGTCTGAGAGCTGGGGCTTGGGGGGCAGGTCACCCAGTTGTGGCTTGGGGGGCAGTTCTCCTGGCTTAGGTGGCAAATCTCCCATTTGGGGCTTGGGGGCCAGTTCTGTGGGCTTTGGGGGCAGGTCTCCAGGTGGAGGCTTCTGGAAGACTTCAGCTGGGACGTTGGCTTTGTCCAAGGAGAGATGATGGCTGGTCTCTGTCTTCCTCAGCGCCACTGAGGGAAGTAAACAGAGTGGGAAGTCAGCGGAGTGCACACAGGGAGGGTGGGCCCCACCACCATGAGGAGCTGCAGCAACATGAGAGCACGTGGTGCAGGAACCAGGCCCAGGTGGCCTGTTGTGAAGAGTCAAGGCGTCCACATCAAAACTAAGATGCTTATATGCCTCGACTATGTAGAACCAGGAGGGCCAAACGAATCCAGAATGAAAAGAATACAAACTAGACACACGAAAAAGATGATAGAAAATGGGACTGGAATTGATCCACAAGTTTATCACCACACAGTGTAGGTGTTTAAAGTATTTTCGATCTGCTCTTTCTTAGACAAGAGTGTTCATTCTCCTTTTACCTGTGATAGGAGTAAGAAGAGCACTTGCCCCGCTCTTTATTACTGGTGGTGGTGGTGTGCCATGGAGTCGGTTCTGACTCAGTGACCCTGTACAGGGTTTCCGAGATGTAAATCTTAATGGGAGCAGAAAGTCTCATCTTTCTCCTGCGGAACAGCTGGTAGTCTGCTGACCTCGAAGTTGGCAGCCTGACTCCTAACCACTATGCTATCAGAGTTCCTTATTAGTAGCAAGCAAGTTTCAATGCTGCCTTCTAGCCCATTCTACAGCTGCAGCATAATTACTAATACCCCCATTATGAAACACTGATGAAATATACACAATAAAAGGGAAATATGTTTCTTTTCTAACAAACATACATGCTCATGAATGTATCTTTCTTAAAAATCATGGATTTACAATACACACACTGGCTGTAACTGTTTTATCCACTTAAGGTTCTGAGCACTTCCAGGTCTTGGTGGCTGCGGAGCACCCCGCAGCTTGGGGAGGCTACAGTGGGCTTAACCACACCGACACCTCTGCACCTGTTGGTATCTCTAATTCCACCTCTTGCCAGCTGTGTGACTTCAGGCCAATTATACAACCTCTCTGTGCCTAGTCATCCTCATTTCTAAAACTACAGTCTCACAGGGTTGTCACAAGGATGATGTGATTTCACGTATGTAAACATGTATGAATAGGACGTGGCAGGCTGTTATCATGTAAGTGCATTATCATCATCATTGTAACTGTTGTTTATTCCTCAAGGCAGGTTCCCTATTATGCATGTTTGCCACTCTGGGGAGCTCTGGCAGCGCTATAGAGTAAGCACTGGACTGCTGACCACAGGGTGGACAGGTTCCATCCCAGCCCGCTCTGTGGAAGAAAGGGGAGGCTGTCTGCTCCTGGAGAGATTGAGAGTTTTGGAATTGGCTCAGTGGCAGGGGGCTGGCTGGCTTTATGTTTTCCTCACTCGGCTCTTGGTCCAGGCGCTGAACATACAGTAGCCTCCCAGAGAGGAAGGAGCTGACCCAGCCACATCCAACTGAGGATTTTATCTAAAATCACAAGTATTCTCTCAGTTATACAGAAAGAGGGAAGCTAGCCCAGAGTTGCAAAAGCGACAAACTGTGCCAGGGTGGTTCTGGCCCGGCTGCCCAGCCACCTCCAGCGCATGCAGGCCACCATGGCCCTCCAGCTTCAGCACACGCACTTTGACTCAGAGAACTCAGCCAGACCAGTCAGAGTCTCTTCCAGGAAACTGGAAAATTAGGTTAGCAAGGGAAAACAGCCAGAGGAAGGCAGACAGAGGGGAGAGGACCCTGTATGCACAGTGTAGAACAACAGAAAAAAAAAGATGATATATCATCATTGGTGGTCTTGGGAGGTAAGCCTTCAGGTGGTGCCTTTTGTTTTTTCTTTCGGTTACCTGAATTTTTCAAACATGCTACAGTACATATTTATTACTTTTATAATAAGAATAAAAAAGAAGAGACAGTCTCTCCTTTAGGGGAGCCTGTCCAATCAGGGCTATTGTATTTCTGAGATTGTTTTGCTTCCATCCTTCCAATAAAGGGCCCTCTCTGAACTGCGTCCTTACACACGTACATGCACGAAAAGGTACATGAAAGAAAGGCCAAGAAATGTCCGTGCGGCCGGTCCATGACCACAGGAAACACAGCTACGCTGAGCTCGAAAGCAGAGAAAGAAGGCTGCAGCGTGACTACTACAGACATCCAGATGTCCTCCGGGGGCAGTTCCACAGTGTGGAGTTAGGGTCACCTATGTGCACTGAGAAAAGCCTCACGGGTCTCTACCACTGCTTTTACCCAAAGAGTGCCTTGAAATACCCACAGAGAGGGAAGAAGTCTTCACATCAAGTATCAATCGTATTCCCTCTGTATACGGGGTAGATAGGGACGGGCCTTAGACAATGGCTACCTAAAATGAGGGGGCGGTATAAAGGCACCAAGTGACAAGCTTACAGTTTTCAAGAGTGAAAAAGAAAAAAAAGAGAAATGGTCAATGTTCCACCTCACACATGAGAATCCTGGAAAACAATATAAATACATTGTAATATAATGTAAATACAAAGGTCTATAATAGAAATACACTGTAATACAATATAAATATAAAATAAATACATTGTAATACAATGTTCCACCTCACACATGAGAATCCTGGAAACATAATATGAATACATTGTAATACAATATAAATATAAAATAAAAACATTGTAATACAATGTTTCACCTCACACATGAGAATCCTGGAAACATAACATAAATACACTGTAATACAATGTAAATACACTGTAATACAATGTAAATCCAATGGTTCTGTGTGGACAATTGTCACAGTAGTTAAGTCTAACATTTTTTACTTTTGTGGAAATGTGAATTCATCTCAGCTTTCTATATAGCAATTTGGCTCAATAAATCAAAACCCTAAAAAAAAAAGAGTGCATTTAAAATAATGGGGACCCTGGGATAGAGGGGATTCACACACGGGTGAGAGAGAGGCTGGTGGAGGAAAGATGAAGGCAGGGAGAAATGCCAGAGTTAAAGTGAACAGAGGCAAATACTGCTACCTGAGAGAACCTGGAGGGGATTGCTATCATTGTAACAGAGCAAAGTATGTGATCCATCAAATGCAAACCTTCACTCAGATCACAATACAAAGTAAACCAAAAAAGAAAAAAGAAAGAAAAAACGCACGTTCACATTGAAGTAAGAGATTTAGTAAGCATTAGCACCAAAGCCATGAAAATGAAAAGAACACCCCCCCAACAAAACGAATTCACTGCAGAAAATTCCATAGATAAAGGAAACCAGCAACACCACACAGAAAAGCATACAACAAAATGACAGCACTCAATTGAGACCTTTTGATGACTACACTGAATGTCCATGGATTCAATGCACCAGGAGAGACAGAGAGCGACAGGACAGGTAGGAAAACAAGGTCCTTCAGCAGGCTGTCTACAGGAGCCACATCAAAAGGATGGAGTCAGCCTACATGCCCAGCATCAGAGAATGGCCCAACTAACTTTGGAATGCCATACAGTGTTGAAGAAGATGAGTCTGCGAATTTATCTCATTACATAGATGAACCTGGAGGACATTATGCTGAGTGACAGTACCCAATCACAAAAGGGCAAATACTGGATGAGACCACTGTTGTGAAGAGAAACATTCTAAGATGGTTGCCTGGAGGTAGGGGAGGAAAAATAGTTCACAGGCTAAAGGGTGAATGATACAGAAAGCACCAAAAGAAGATGGAAGGAAAACACACTGTACCAAAAAGAAACGGTTGATGTTCAACGGTTTCAAAAAGTAGCATATGATCAAGAGCCAATGATCCTGAAGGAGGAAGTCCAAGGTGCACTGAAGGAATTGGCAAAGAACAAGGCATCAGGAATTGATAGAATAAAAATTGAAATATTTCAAGAAAGTAAGGTGGCACAGGAGGCACTCACTCATCTCTGCCAAGAAATTTGGAAGACAACTACCTGGCTGACTGATAGGAAGAGATCTGTATTTGTGTCCATTCTAAAGAGAGGTGACCCAATGGAATGCAGAAACTGGACAATATCTTTGATACCCCAGGTGAGCAAAGTGTTACTAAAGGTATTACAGAAACGGCTGCAAGCATGCATTGACAGAGAACTTTCAGAGGTTCAAGCTGGATTCAGAAGAGGCCGTGGAACGAGGGATATCACTGCTGATGTCTGATGGATCTTGGCTGAAAGCAAAGAATATCAGAAAGATGTTTACCTGTGCATTATTGATTATGCAAATGCTTTCAATTGTGTGGATCGTGACAAGCTACAGACAACATTGTGAAGTATGAGTATTTCAGGACACTTAATTGTGCTCATGAGGAATCTGTACACCAACCAAGAGGCAGCTGTTTGAACAAAACACGGGAACACTGAGTGGTTTAAAATTAAGAAAGGTGTGAGACAGGGTTGTATTCTTTCACCATACTGATTCAACCTGTATGCTGAGTAAATAATCCGAGAAGCTGGGTTCTATGAAGAAAAACATGGCATCAGGATTAGAGGAAGACTCATTAACAACCTGTGATATGCAGATTATGCAACCTTGCTTGTTGAAAGTGAAAACTTAAAATATTTACTGATGAAGATCAAAGAGCACAGCCTTTGGTATAGATCACATCTCAATGTAAAGAAAACAAAAATCATCACTGGACCAATAAATAACATTCTTATCAATGGAGAAAACATTGACGTTGTCGAGGACTTCATTCTTTTTGGATCAACTATCAACACTCATGGAAGCAGCAGTCAAGAAATCAAATGATGTAGTTCATTAGGCAAATCTGCTGCACAAGACCTTTTTAAAGTGTTGGAAGAGCAAAGATTTCAGCTTGAAGAGTAAGGTGTGCCTGACCCAAGCCAAGGTATTTTCAATAACCTCATAAGCATGTGAAAGCTGGACAGTGAATACAGAAGACCGTATAAGAATTGATGCTTTTGAGTTATGGTGCCATGGGCTGCCAAAAGAACCAATAGATCTGTGTTGGAAGAGGTTGCAACCAGAGTGCTCCTTGGAGGCCAGGATGACCACACTTGGTCTCTCATACTTTGGACATATTGTCAGGAGGGACCAGTCGCTGGAGAAGGATATCATGTTTGGTAAGGTGGAGGGTCAGAGAAAAAAAGGAAGACCCCCAACGAGATGGATTGGCCAAGTGGCAGCATCAATAGACTCAAGCGTGGCAACAATAGTGAGGTTGACCCAGGACCGGGCAGTGTTTTGTTCTGCTGTGCATAAGGTTGCTATAAGTCGGTACCGACTTGATGACACCAAACAACAACAACAAAGGGTAGAGATGTTAACATAGTATATTACAACAAGAGGAAATACACACAACAGGCAGAGGGAAGAGGCAAGGAGGAAGGCAAGAGTTAAAGTGAGGAGAGACAAATACTGTTAACTGATGGCACATGGAGGGGATTGCAATAAAGGAAAGCATGGGATTTGCTGAATGTAAATCTGATGATCTGTCCTGCAAACCTTCATGTAAGTCACAATTAAAAAACAAAACTAAAAAGGTGATGCTCAGGAGAGGGGAGGAGGGCAGCCTGACCAGGGTGGGTGCAGGGGAGGGAGGCCCCCCAAGCACCCCCAAGCACCTCCTAGGGGAGGGCTTAGAAGCCCCCCAGGGCACCTGGAGAGAAAGTGCAGCAGTCTGACAGCAGTGGCCTGGGCGGGGTCAGGTGGAGTTGCCTGCAGCCTCTCCCCTCGCAGCACCCACTTGGAAATGATGGCATGCCTGGGTGGGTGGGAGAGGAAGAGGTGAAATGAGACCGGATATGAACTGATGTAAAGAAAACTTCACTGCTTTTGTATAGGATTATGGGAGACTTCAAATCCTAATCACACTCCTCCGGAGGGAGAGTGGCTGCAGAGAAGGAGGTGGTGGTTGGAGGGAGAGGTGCCAAGAAGGGAACTGACTGGGTTCTTTAGAAAACCATGAATGGCTAAGAAGGTACAAGGATGGCGTGCAGGGATTGAGGAGCCGGGATGGGCTGAGCCCTCCACTGAGCTGAGGAGATGTGAAGGGAACAACAGATCCTTCAGGGAGGCCAGGTCCTCCCAGGTTACTTGTGTCATGGTGCCAGTCAGACGAGAAGAGCAACAGCAGGGGAGAGGAGGGAAACAAGGCTATGAAGGGGACAGAGGCAGTGACCAGGTGGTGGCTTCCATGGGCACGTATGGGAGGGGTGGGGGAGCTGGAGAGGCGGCTGGGGTGGACCGAATGATGTCGTGCCATCTGTGGGGTGAGCACACAGGAATCTGGAGTAAGTTGTAGATAGGGGGACAGTGCCCCCCAAGTCCATCCTGACTCATACACAGTGACCCTACAGTCAAAGTAGAAGTAGTGCTCCCTAGGTTTTCCACAGCTACACGTCATTATGAAAGCAGACAGTGCCATTTTGCTCCCTTAGAGTCAATGGTGGGTTCAAATCGACCTACAGGTTAGCATCTGAGTGCTTAAAACACTACGTCACCAAGGCTCTTTGACAAGGGGGACAATGCCTGGGACCCTTTTCTCAAACATCTGTGAGACCAGGATAGAGACAAAAAGAAAAACAAGACAAAACCTGAGATTAAAAAAAGAAGCTCCTAGATGGATCTTGGGCAGTAGGCAGGTAGGCAGTCACCATCCATGTCCCTGGTGTCTTGGTGGCCCCTCCTTGCTCTTTGCTGAGTGTCCCCGAAGGCGTGAGAAGAGTTTCTTTGAAAAAACTAAATTCTGAGCCACTTGGATACAGCAGCTAGGAATGATGGGATAGGACTACGGCTCTATCGTGTTCGTTTCTGGAACTGAAGCAATGTTAGGAAAGAAACACTCCCATCAAGAGAGGAGAACAGGAGTGGAGCGTATCCTTTGGACCTGGTATCCCTGGCACCATGCAGTTCTAGACGTGGGGGAAGACTGATGCCAACATGCATGGAGAGCTCCAAGGAATGCCAGGCCTACGGACGCTGGAAGGAAACAAGGCCCTCGCCCGGCGCTGACTACATCCCTGGTTAGTAAAGCCATCCACTTGTGATCTTTCTGCCCCAGCAGCACTAGAGTACTGACATAAAATCTGCTCCGGGGAATCCTTCCTTCCTGGTTGGTGGAGAATGAAGAGCAGCCATTGGGACCTTTCATCTAACTGCCAGGGAGCCCGGCTCGGCCAAAGACCCCACTTCACAGAAGAACCCCAACAGAGGCAGCTGAGCACTGGGCTGGGGTCTACAGGGGCTCAGTCCTGTTGCTACCGTGAGCTCCACTGAGGTTCAGTCACGTCAGACATGGGCCCTGTGGCCTTATGTGTGAGTCTAACACTCAGGCCTTGCAAGCATGAGTGTGCCTGTAGTCCTAAGAAGACTGAAATGCTGGTTGTACAAACGGAAAGCTTGTCGGGAGTACAGACAATTTGATCAAAGAGCTGAGTGTCTTGGCTTGGCAATGCAGCAGCGGGTAGAGACACTGCTTTCTTGTACTTCACGGAGCACGGGCCTCTACTCTGCACGGCAGATGCCACCCGAAAGGGGGGGGGGGTCTTTCTGAGGCAGGGTTTCTTTCTGCCCTCAGGCAACCTTACGAGGTTGGCAATCTATCTCCCAGCTTTCCAGAGCAGGCATCGTTGGCTTAGCAAAGTGCAAAGGCGCTTGCTCAAGGCCCAGAGTAAGTGACAGAGCTGGTATCTGCTCCCAGGTCTCTGATGTTTGCAGAGGATAAAGAACGGTACCTTTGGGTAATAACAACGTGTCTTCTGAACAAGTATTCTGCTTTGAAAAGAGCCCTGGGAGCACAGTGGATTAAGGAAGGCCTGCTAACCAAAAAGATCAGTGGCTCGAACCCACCAGCTGCTCCTTGGGAGAATGACGTGGCAGTCTGTTCCCACAAAGATTAACAAGCTCAGAATCCCTGTGGGACAGTTTCACTCTGTTCTTTAGGGTCCCTATGAATCGGAAGTGACTTGACAGCAGTGGGCATTGGATGCCATGCTTTAAGAAGCAATACAATGTTTTGAAATGATAAAATTTCAGGTAGTAAATATTTACTGGGCACCTACTATGTGCTGGGAACTGTTCTCGGTGTCGAGACAGATCAACAAGCAGAGGAGACAAGGATCCCCGTACCCTGAATGTCAGTGTGACAAAGCCCAGTCTTACCTTTCTGAGGTAGTTTAGGAAGAACTCTTGGACCAAGGGCAGTCTTTGCAGAACTGGTGCTAAGGAACAGATAAGAAACATTTAAGATGCAAAATACCACAACGCCAGCGGTGCTACATTAATCAAGGAAGTCTAGAGAGTCTTGTCAAAATTACTTTAGAGAAACATCACAATCTAGTTTCCAGGATTCAGAGTGTGCCTGGCTGGGAGGAGCAAGGTCAGGGTGGGCAACAAGGAACTCTCTTAGGGGTGAAGGCAGCGTTTACAGAGCACTTGGCACTGTCACGGGGGACCCCAGCGCCTGCTCTGCTCTACCAGAGAGCACCTGGTCTTGTGTGGCAGCCGGGTGCAGTAGCTCTCCTTAGCCCTGTTTTCAGTATAGAAACTCAGGCATGTGGGCTTTAGGTGACTGCTGAAGGTAGAAGTGGAAATTCAGGTCCAATTCTGATTCCCAAGCTTCCCCCATTGTTGGGTGTTGTTGGGCTGGTTCTGACTCAAAGTGCCCACAGGACAGAAAATTTTCTAGACTCTAATCTTTATGGATGTAGACTGTGGGGTCTTTCTCCCACAGACCCCTGGGTGGGTTTGAACCATCCATCTTTACGTTAGCAGCTGAGCTGTTAAGTATTGGACCACCAGATCTTCGTCATCTTTTCCTGACCTTCCCCTCCTTTGATGGGCACGTTAACGAGTAGGAGAGATGCTCGTGTGCCGGTAACAGAGAAAGACCAAGAACATGGTATCTGACTATGTAAGTTGCATCCCACTCTTACCACAGAAATGCCAGAACTGCATCTGTGTGCCGGAACCCACCCTTACTCTTAACAAGGCACCCTAGAGCACTGGAGTCCTGGTGTGGCGCTGCAGGATAAGCACTGAAGTACTAATTGAAAAACTGGCGGTTCAAACCCACTAGCTGCTCCTTGGAAATACTATAAAGGGTGGCTATGAGTCAGTGGCCCTTAACAGCAACAACTTTACAAAGCCCTGCAGCCCCACAAAGCCTTGCAGCCTCTTTTTTAGTATCTCCCATCTCCTATTCTGTTCTCCGATGCCCTAAGATTTCGTTTCGCCCACCTTTTATCCCAACTACATTTTTATTTTAAAGGGGAAAACCAAAGCCACCAACAAAAGGAAAAAAAACCAACTGTGTCTCTTTCTTGCTCTTTCCTGGCCCTCAAGTCACCCTTGGTCTAAACTGCTCTTTTCTCCACTCCCACGGAACCCCACTAATCTTGGGGCTACTAGAGAAGACTAGATAGAGCCACCACTACATGAGAGGGGGGTCAGCAGGAGGGATTTTGCTTCCTGTGGAGGGGGCTTCTCCTGGGTCCTGTCTCAGAATCGTGCCAGGAGACACATCTGCATGGTACTGACGTGCTTACCACGCACACTCCTGGCAATGCTACAGGGCTGAGGTCTAGGGTTAGAAATGCCGTCCACGACAGAGCGTGGGTGGACCTGGCTTCTTCCAAGAGGCTGTCTGCTGCTGTGGTAGTGTGTGTGTGCACATGTGTGTACACGTGTGTACATACAGGTGTATGCACCCCCTGCGTGAGGAGAAGAGTGTGGTGGCCATGCGAATGGACAGAGTCCAGGGCCAGTGTGTCATCTGCATCCCTGTGACCTATACTTAGGCCTGCCAGGCCTTGGCGTTCTCATCTTTAAAACTGAAGGTGCCAGTAACTGGATCCATGTCACAGACTGCAGACATGATTTAAGATTGTGGCGGTAAAGGAAGTGAGGATTTTGTGCTTTAATCTTTGTTAAGCTCTGAGGAGTTGGGTCTAGCAGTGACTGTGCCAACCTCATGGCTCGCACGTGGAGAGGACCTTCTGGGCTAGGGCAGGGTGGACACTGCCCATCATTCCGGTGAAAAGAAGGATGAGAGGAAGGCAGCAGGAAGCCCCCCAGGACAGGGAGCCCTGGGACAGTCACATTTGTGGGCGTGAACATCTGGGGCTATCAGCTTTTCACCCAGGAGTTTTTTTCCATCCCCACGTCTGTGAAAATGAGCCAGGAGGCCGAGCGACGTGAGAAATGACGTAATTAAAAAGACGGAAAGCAGTGCTCCTGTTGGCAGAGATGGCCAGGGCGCTGTGCCCATCAGGGTTTGCCAACAGAAGGAGGAGAGCTGGACACTGCTGTGACGTGGGGTCTGCAGACAGGGCCAGCGAGACCACTCGTTACCGTGGAGCAACAAGATTCAGGTACCCATGGAGGGCAGACAGTTGGCACCAGCAGGGTGACCACCCTCTGAAAAGCACCAGCAAGGCGCTGAGACGCACTTCTGTACTTCTGCCCGTTGAAACGCTGAGCCCAACGAGCGGCAGGAGTACCAGGGGGCCTTACCTTGATTGCTGAGATAGCCCCTCAAACTTGTTGGCCGTCTTACTGGATGACGAGGGACCCACGTCATTACCTATAGGGAAAAGGACAGCGATTTGTATCTTCAGATGGGGAAAAGAAACACAGAGCTGTGCGGATTGGGCAAAGAGAGAAGGGAGCTTGCAAAGACCCAGCCCTGTCTTCACAACAAAGCAAACCTAAGCACAGCTCTGGAGCTTGGACACCACACTTACTGCCAGGAAAGGATGAAATCAAAGAGGGGGCAGCTGGCTCCTGGGGCTGGGCTTTCTGAAATGATAGGACTTTGCTGACGGCCCATTGGCTCCAGATCTGTTCTCAGCACAGGGGTAGAGGAAAAACATGAAATTCCAAGCTCACCCTGAAGTCCCCATGTCAAGTGTCTTTCCCCAGAAGGCAGACAACTCACAAGTCACATGAGCGACAGCGTGACTGTGAATGTGTGCACTGGAGGGCACTGGTTAGCAGGATGGCAAACCTGGTACATGTCATCAGGAGGGACCAGTCTCAGGAAGAGGGCACCATGCTTGGTAAAGGCAGGTGAGAAGAGGAAGACTGTCAATGAGATGGTTTGACACTGTGGCTGCAACAACGTGGCTCCAACAAAACAGCAATTGTGAGACTGGTGCAGTTTCGCTCTGTTGTGCACAGAGTTGCTATGAGTCAGAGATGACTCGATGGCCCCTAACAACAAGTCATTCACCAGGTGTTTACTGAGCACCTACTGTGTGCAAGACACTCTTCTTGCATAACGTAGTTGAGGAATACAAGTATGTAAAAATAAACTACCATCAGGGAAGAAAAGAGTTAAGTACGGAACAACCAAAGCACCTTCCAGGCAGCTGGGCTGTGAACTATCATAGAGGGAGAGGTGCTGGAAATGGGTCTGCCTTCAGAAAAATGCTTCCCGACCACAGCTTCATAGCTGAGCGTGGCTACGAGGTACTCAATGGAGGGCAAGGTTGGGGGCACGTGGAGCTGTAAGAAGATGACACTGAACACGGGAGGGTGCCTGCCCTCAAGGGGTAGGGATTCTGGTAGAATCCACCTGAGACTTGGATGCAGCAGAGAAGTAAACACAGAAGAAAATAAAGGTCATTACTGCATTTAGCATTTCACAATTTCAGAGTTTCAGAAACCGTCCTATGCCCCCCAGGTCCCTTCACACATTGTGATGGTGCCCGCCAGTGACTGGCCCTGGCCATCTCGTCCCCATTTTGTTCCCTCTCACACACCCAGCAGGAGTGGTACAAAGGCAGTACAACCCCATCACTACCCTCCGATTTCACTGTCCAGCCTGCGAGATGCACACACGACTGTACTAACAATGTAGAACCACGTGAATGTGGACTAGACTTGGTTTCTGTGAAAACACAGATGAAATGGTGATGGGGGTCTTGCTGGGAGGAGGGGCAGGGAGCACCCTTTAGAGGACTTCCTGAAGGGAGGTGACGGCAGAGGGGGAGATAAGTACCCTTTGTCCAAAGTGGATTGAATGAAAGCAGGTTCTTGTGTGACCCACTGTGGAGCGCTGGGTAATCCTGGGACCACGTCAAATAGTGAACCCCCAGGGATAGCATCAGCTGCCAGTCGGAGAAGAGGCATGGGAGGGCCCTTTCCTAGTCCTGGAGGAAGTACGGCCTCTGGACCACCAGAACTGTGAGGGAATCGATTTCTGTTGCTTTAGATCACCTAGGAATCTAAGACAGGAAGCCAACCTGACAGACGGCCAGGTGGAATCCTCTGGAATCTACTGGGCACAGCCGTCTCCATGGTTCCAATTCATTTCCTTGCCCTCTGACCACCTTCCTAGAGGCCTGGAAATGGTAGGGCAGGTGAAGATATGGGTTGAGACCATCACATGATCATACGACAGACAGCTCTGCCCAGTAGATTCCATCAGCTGCCCAAACCCTTCTCATCAGTCCTGCCCTCCTACCCCTGCCCCACACGAGAGACTGGTAGCAGTAAGCCAATTTTAAGGACAAGCAACCCAGGGTAAGTGAATGAAGGGCCTCAGGGAACACGGACAAATGTCCACCTAGGAGTCCTGAGCTCAGTCTACACGCTCTTCATGACCTATCACCATGTCATAGTAACACTGATAAACAGTAATTATAAGGTATGGCTATAGCCTACCTGCCAGCCGTTCCTTGGAAACCCTATCTGGGGTCGTTATGACTTGGAACCGACTGGATGGTACTTAACAACAAAATGCTTATGAGCTGGACAATAGAATACTGTTTTATACAAGGGGCTTCAAAAAGTTTCTGCCAAAATGAAAATTTAGTAAGATAAAGTAACTACTTGTCTAACATCAAGTAGCTAATAAGGGTCCGGGTTGGGCTAGAAGGTGGGCAGCCTGCCTTGAGGTCTGCACCAACCCGATTGCGCCTCCTGCTGCACCTCTGGACAGAGCTCTCTGTTACTCTTGGGGCACTGATGCCCGAAGCAGCAGCAAACCTGTAGTCACCAGGACAAAAGTCTTTCCAGTGGAGCTTGGCTTCATTTGAGTAAGACATCCTTTCTAGCTACCAGGATGTTTCCACGAGATCCTAACAATATTTAAGTGATCTCACTGAGTCCTGACTATGCTGTGCTCACTTTCTCAGCTCCATGTTCACAGGGCAATCTGCAGGGCCGGCTCTCACACCAGCGGAGTGGAATGAGCCACAAACCACCCAAGCCAGTCAGTTCTGATCCACAGTGACCCTCTAGAACTGTCCCATAAGGCTTTCTGAGGCGGTCACCTTTATGGAAGCAGAATGCCACATCTTTCTCCTGTGGAACAGCTAGGGGGTTCGAACTGCTAACCTTTCAGTTAGCAGCTGAGTGCCACTGGTCTTGAAATGAGCTATTAACAATGGGAATGTCAAAGGCAGCTCCATGTTTGGGGGACAAACTGTTGCAATGGTTAATTCCTCTTCTTGACACAAAGCATTCCAAACAAGTGATTCTGGGATTGTGAGCATCGGACTGTCAGGGCTGCAAAGCTACCGGCACTGTTAAGGGCCCCCACACTGTTGTCGCACACTGTCCATGACCCCAGGCACAGATTTCTAGCGTCCTCAGTTAACCCTCCTCTCTCATGAACTCATGACCTGCAGTAAGAGTGGTCAGGGCTTCAGCTCCACCACTGACCAGCGGGCATAGCTCTGGATGAACTGGCCAATTCTGCTAAGCTGCAGACCCCTCACCTCCAGAACAGGGGAGGTACTAGCAGTGGCCACAATGAATGGCTGGGAGCATTCCACAGACGGTCACTGTGATTCCTAGCTCTCTGAGGGGAGTTAGCAGCCATGATGCGGATATGTGTGTGAGCTCCTCAAAGGCAGGGATGCTGCCCTCTGCTTGTCTTGTCGCTGTGAGCTAGTCAGGCACAGTCAGCAGGGGCCTGCTGAGAGGACAGGGCTCACAGTGGTGCCTCACCAACCTCTCCGCCCAGTGGTCATCTCACAGGCTCTCTACAACCAACGTCTATACAGCGTTTAGTCCCAGTGACCGAAGGGGAGTACACAGGCTCTTTCCCAGGGGTCACTTCATTAGGGACCAGCAGAATGCAGACCAGAACTTGGGACCTCCCGAGTGTCCGTGCAGGGCATGTGATAGGTCATCATGCTGTGTGGCCAGAACCTTCTCTGAGGCGCCCGGAGCAGCTCTCAGGGGATAACAACAAGAAGTCTCAAGTGTTATAATGCGGTTCATCGTACAGCCACACCGAGGGTCAGCTCTCACTTCTCTGCTCTTGACTGTAACATCTCAGGTTCCAGTCTCTGTCCACTTGCAGCCACTGGGCGTCCCCTTCACTTACTTTGCTACCTTTGTTCACTTCTGGTCTTCATTTCCATATGAACTTTACTTCTAGTTGTTTTAAAATATGTCATGGTCCTTTACAAGGGAGGTTATAAATAATGTCTCAAAAGGGGAGGTTTAAAGAAATGCCACTTCAAAACACCAGCAAGTTCCCACAAAACCCAAGTCTGCCTGCAGTCCTATTTGTGATCTGATCAAAAGTGTGCCTTTAATGGGCTAGACACAGATGCTGACTTCATCACGGCAGTGGGAGGCCTCGGCTATTTGGGGTATGGTGGACACGGTGGACCTGGCAGGACAAAGCCTGGAACAGCCTCCCTGCCTGGACTCTGTGCACACAGGGTCCCTGTGCTATGGGTGCTGCCCTTCAGGACTTAGTCCAGGGGCAAAGGAGGAGCAAGTGTCAGTGCCAACATCCGACTGCCTTCTGCAGGCACAGTGCTGTTATGTCAGGGTGGCGGGCGCAGGCTCTCAGAGCTGCACTCGCTGATGTTGATGTCAGCTGTCCCTTGACCAGCTGTCGGACTCTGGGCTCATTATTTTACCCTTCCGAGTCCCAGCAACCTCATTCTTAAAGTCGAGGAACTGACATTTCCTGCTCGGAGGATCTGCCACTAAATGCTCCCCACAACATGCTAACGAAAAGAACACATTACAGCTAATGATTAGAGACGTCCCAGGTGCTGGATTTCAGACGTCTAGCCTGCAGACTGCAAGAGGATACATTTCTGTGTTTGAAGACACCACGTGTGTTGTCCTTTGCTATAGCAGCCTCAGGACACCAAGACAGTTCCCATCCAGTCAACGCTGGACACAGTGGTGACCACAGCTAAGGTGCACCCGTGCCTTCTGTGTGCTGGGCCCTGAGCCTCAGGTGTTGTGTTAGCTCATCCCCGAGAGGACTCTGTAACACTGTAATGCAGGTAGTACTCCGCTGTACCAGTCCAATGCTAACAGCCAGCGTGGGAACTACTACTCTGTGCTAGTCTAACACAGGCGTGACCACTCCATAACAACACTACAACCCAGGGACGGGGACTAAGTCCACTGTAGAGCTGCAGATAGTAATGCACACAATAGGAAATACTTGCTCAACAGTTCAGGGCTAGCAAGTGGCTGAGAGGGGATTAGAATCCAGGCAGTCTGACACCAGGGTATACACTGAAGCCCTTTGTTCTACTGTTACAGCAAATAGCACATGGCTTTGTAAGGAGTTCCTCATGCACAGGGAGAGACGGGGATGCACACAGGACACTGGGGAATGGAGAGGGTCTCGGGGAGAGGCATCAACAGATTCCAGGGCACATGACAAGGAGCCCTCAGGTGCACCTCTCTGTGGCTGGCGAGTCCTGTGAGGTCTGAGGAGAGCTGAAAGGCTGCTCTTCCCCCACCCCCCCTTCTGGATCCTGGGCCAGTTTGGGGAAATGGAGAGCCCTAAAGACAGAGCGATGCAGAGGAGACTGCGACCATTCCAGAAACTGTCTAGGAGTCAGATGCCCCATGTGTACTTCACCCACCAGGTTGGTCCCTACCTTGGTTTCTGGGACCAGGTCACAGAGAGGGAGACCACCAAGCAGTGGTTATGCCACACACAGTGAGGACAGCAAAGCTAACCACTTGGTGGGAAGTCCAGTTGTGTGTGTGGGTGTGTCTATTACAGATGTGTACCAAACCAGCCCTGGAGGGGAATCCAGCTGTGGTGTGTGTGTCTCACAGATGTGCACTGAGCCAGCACTTGAAAAACGGCTTTGATCACTTCAGAATCATTGTTTGGAGTTGTGAATGACTCCCGAAGTCTGTGACGTGACACATTCTCACTTTTGTTGAGGACAGGGTTTGGTTTTGTCCTTCCAGCCTGGCTGTACACAGTAGGCCCTTAGCTGGTTAATGCCACAGCACCAGGTGCCAGGTAGGTACTGATGCAAAAAAAGCGACAACTTTGTTTCCTGTTGAAAAGTATCGTTAATACCCC